ACCGACCCGCCGCTGCTGCTGCTGCGGCTGGTGCTGGTGCTGCTGCTGCTGCTGCTGGGGCTGCTGCTCCGAGGCACCAGTTCGAGCCCCCTCGTCGGTACTACTAGCAGGCGAACCACCTCCACCACCGCCTCCACCCCCTTCTCTGCTATATCCGCCGCGCCGAGCCTTGGGGTGGCGACCCTTACCCGGGCAAAACTGCGCTGCGGCAGCCACGGCGATAGGCTACGCAGCAGGGGCTGTCTCAGCAACAGCAACAGAATCATCAGAGTATGTGCACTGAACGAAGGCACAGCCCTGAAAGATAGTGACCGAAACAGTACCGCTAGACTGGGCGATAGAGCGCTGACGAGTCTCTATGGCAGACAGGGTGTCGACAAAGTCAGAGACGGGTGGAGTCTAAGAAAGTTATTGCGAGCGGTAGCAAGGCGGTCAGGGAGGCGGGTGTCAAGCAGGTAGAGGGTAGCGCAGAAACACACGAAGCTGGGTCTCAATGCAGGCACGCACCAGGTCGTGTCTAGCGTGTGCAAGTGGGTCGCCAGGTCAGCGTTAGTGGAGAAAGACGCGAGATCAGCAAAGAGCATCAGCAGGATCAGGCGACAGACAAAGGCAGAGGGTGGGGTGGAATAGCGCGCGACAACAGCCTCTAGGAACTCCTGCGCAGTTGTGACCGACCTAAAGCGAGGGCGCTCAGACATCGGAAGGGCATGACTAATTGCGAGCTGTGCAACAGCGTGACGCGACAACTAGACAATACGGGAAAGGGAAGCAGCGGCAGCGGACTCACGGTCAGCAGACGTGGGATCAGCAGGTAGAGAAGAAGGGGGGTCAGGGCAGGGGAGCGTACCGTCGATGTGGACGGCCAGGGAGTGGCCGTCCTGCCGCAGACCAGTGAGGTGACGGCGGAGGTCGACGAGCAACGTGTCGAACTGAACTGGTTGACCCTCCGCGTCAAAGTGCAGTACCGAGTCTGCCATCATGGTCGCTACAGCAGCGGAAAGGCGGTATGATATGTTCTGAGCGACAGAGTGTGGCGGGAAGCAGTGGTGTACGGTGCAATGCAGTGTGACAGACTGCGGTAGAGTGAGGTGCAGTACGGTAGGATGCGGTGCAGTGTGGTGTAGTGTGGTGGAGTGCGGTGCAGTGCGGTGGAGAGGGCTGATGACGCGAGTTGGGGGGCCGCAGGGGCAGCTGAGGGACGGGGCCGCGAGGAGGCTGGGCGACGAGGCCGCGGGGCGGCTGGTCAACAGGGGCCGTGTGGCGGTTAGGAGACGGGGCAGCGGGCGGCGAGGCGACGGGGCCGACTAGGCGGCGAGGTGACGTGGACGGCTAGGTGGCAGGGCTTGCTAGGCTATAGGGCCGGCTGAGGGACGGGGCCGGCTAGGCGACGGGGCCGGCTGGGCGACGGGGCCGGCTGAGCGACGTGGCCGGCTGGGCGACGGGGCCGGCTGGGCGACGGGGCCGGCTGGGCGACGGGGCCGGCTGGGCGACGGTGCCGGGTGGGCGACGGGGCCAGCTAGGCGACTGGGCCGGCTGGGCGACTGGGCTGGCTGGGCGGCGGGGCCGGTTGGGCGACGGGGCCGGCTGGGCAACGGGGGCAGCTAGGCACTAGGTGACGGGGGTCCGTAGTGGGCGGGCAAGCACGGGCGCGAGGGTGACGGGCCGGCTAGGACCGATGGCGGAAGTGCTGGTGGGCGGGGGGGACCTAACCTACTTATGATACCATATCAAAGTTAACGAATTACTAGAACCATGGCATACAAGGGAATATAACCTAGTGGGTTGTACTCTCTAAGGCACGACCCTCTGTAGTCTATAACAACATTCAAGGATATGTTTGACAAAGGGGGGATCAAAACTGGGGAGAGGGGGCAAGTTGGGCAAATAGAGCGGTGGGAGAAACTTCGCGGTTGGGAGATCTTGGATGTCAATTATTAGCAACAATCAAACGGTGGAAACATGTCGAAACGATCGCAATAGATCGAGGCCGTCGAATTTTGATAGACTTTCAGTTGGCCTAATGTGCAGCTGACGAGAATTTCCCTAAAATTGACGACTATTGTAAAATATTTGTTTCGTCTCTCCTCGTGTAGGGTCAAACACATTTTCATACCAAGGCATCGCCGTCAGTATCCTTAATGGATCCGCAAATTTCCGTCCCTTAAAAAACAAAAAAAAACTCTGATTGTACTCGCTGGACCCTGAGAAAACCAGACAAGCTGAGTTATGGACTCAGTCGTTTCAGAGTATCGATATTTTGAAGGAAAGCCCATCAGTTTTTTTTTTTTTTTTTTAAACGTCAGCCTTGTTGGTAACTCTGTTGAGTATGCTTCAACGGTGCACGTGAGAGTGTGAGGTTATTCAGCATGTTAAAAGTTTTAATGCACACTCATCTATGTAAACTGGCCTAGACGAAAATGAATGCAACAATACAAGGAAGTCACTTATTTGGACAATGATTTCAACCTGGATTTATCTAGTATGATGTCAACACAAGCCTCGCGCATTATAGCTTTTCCTAGCAGATGCTTCTTACGGTGCATTACACTTGGCCCGCGTTATTTTCGACGCTGGTATTTTCAGCGGTTCTCTTTGCAGGGGGCTGTCACCCTCGGGAAGCATCACCAAAGAGGCCGGTTGAGAGACCTCTGGAAAAAGCAACGACCTTCGTTTTGTAGACGACCGATGTTTACAATGTGAGATTCCGCATTTTGGTACTGTTGTCGAGTATGTGTCAGATTCGAGCCTTCTACTGGTTCGTGACTTTAGGGGAGCGTAAGGTTTCGGGAAGTCGCGGAGCCAGGAGATCACTATACTCAAACCGCTCAAAAAAAGAGAGGCTACCTTACTGTGCCTTGTAGTAACATCCTGGGACGTCACAATTTTTATACCTCGAACGCTCCCTTATGAACACGGATGCTCTCTGCTGACCCAGAAACGGTCAGGGTGCTAAAACAATGTTGCTGCCGTCTAATTCCACCCTTGGAAATTACCGCGGGCCATGTGTAACGAACGGCGATACGTATCTGTGGCGAAAGCATGACGAAATCTCCGCACCTTCGCGAGGAACACGGTGAGGTTCATCATGCTTGCCCGCGGACATCTGCAGATTCGAATGAGGATCCATTCTGCAGGCAACAACTAGCAGCAAACTCGAAGGGACAAGCCGATGATTATAACTTTGCTGCGCTGGAAGCTATGCAGCCAATCAGAAACGAAACGACTCCATGCGCTGGCGAGCCCACCCCCTGGTCCAGATGCGGGCTTGATTGATCGCAATAATATAGCGACCCAAAGCATGAACCCGCCCGCACAGCCCCATTCACTCCGTGGCAGGGCTAAGTGTTCAAGGGTAAATAATCGGAAAGTCAGATACATTCCAGGTATTGTTCTCTGAAATCCTGATTTGTAGGGTTTCGGATTAGAAATCCTCCTGTTTGCTTCCGGGCCGTTTCATGGAAGTCACTGAGCAATCTGGAAATTTAATCCAGGCCATCCGATCGGCATGAAAACTACCCGTTCTGGAATTGCAACCCTACTCCCTCCCCCCCCCCCCCCCCCCTCCCCCTTCTCCCCAAATCCTTCGCAACCCTTATCAAATTTCCTTGCAATCTGAAGGTGCGACCCGTGGAACTTTCACATCTACAGAAGTGACAAGGTGTGGTGGTGAGGGACAGCAGCAAGAGTGTGTTCTGTATCCTTCTCTATCGTTCTTCCATCGATCCTTCCTGCTTTAACTCGAAATGCCCACGGGTTCCGCTGATATGTATGGAGTCCCAAAAAACACTTTGAATTTCACATTGAATGGTCAAAGTATTCCTGAAATAAAGAAAGATTTTCCAGGGAACGCTGATTTTTCAGGGTCTTTAGTGACGCGAATACTGAGTCCGCTGTGTCTTGAAAAAATGGAAAAACATTAGTCCTGCTCCGTGGAAAGTTTACAAATCTAGCTTGAAGGGTGTAAAACACTTCTGTATTGCTTTGTATGTAGGCACCTCACTTCTCACTTCCATCTGCCCAGAAGGACGCAACCTGCCTTTCCCGAAATCCGTCGGAATGCGCACGCTTGGCGAAGGTTTCAGTGGAGGCTTTGTGTTCAGTTGTGCCAGTGGAGAGATCCTCTACAACAGGTGGCACCGCAATTGTTAGGGCTATCACCCTGTGGAAGAAGATTCCACAACCATTCTTCCTCCTCACCAAATCCAGGTCATTCACAGTTTCATCTGCCCAAGCGCACGCTCTTACAGAAACACTGTGTACTGTACTCACAATTGCCGCCGGAATGTATAACCTTGAAAGAGCCATTTTTGTCGAGAACTGACACCATCGTAGAGTCACTGACGGCCGTCCGATTGATCGCGTCAACCGACGTGGCTTTTTTCAGTGATGGCCAGCTGCTGCGTCAGCAGCAACCAGTTCATGAACGGGCCAACTGAGCCAGCGAGGTGGATGCACAGCACAGTGTGCCTCCGTGCGTGGTGGTCCCCAAGTCCCCCCCCCCTCCCAAACCAAAGCAGGCACCAACGAAAACGGGGGAAACTCGTTCATGATTTCGCTTCGCCTCACGCGTTTCTCCCCTGTCCCAGCCTTCGGGGAGTTGCTGGGGGAGTTGCTCGTTTCTCCCCTCTCTCACTCCCCCTTCCTCCCCCCGCCAATCACCCTCCTTCCAATCTTCCAAGTGGCAAGCTTTCCTCCCTAGGCCGATTCTCCTCCTTCCTCACCTCGTCCAGTTTTCCGTCCAACTCCGTCCAGCACCAATCCCTAGGAGCCTCAACTTTGGGGGGAGCTGCATTTCTGTACGTCGATTCTGTGGCAAGTTGGTAACCCATTGTTTGCCATGTTCACCTTTCTCCCCTTCACACTGGCGTCCTCTCACTGATCCATCCTCTAGGCCATGAGACCAATTCTTCTCCAAGCCCGTCGCCGCCATTGCCTGCTACAGGTTCACTCCCCTGCTTGTAATTCCCTGCATGCCGCATCGGCTGTACTTTCCCGCCTCCTCCATACTGCATTTCTTGGAGCGCTGTCAGTTAGCTGAAGATCTGAGTTGCTAAATGCTCCGCCAACTCTAGTCTCCATCGTAGTTTCCGACAGCTTATTGTAGCTCTTGAATTCTCGTGCAAGTTAACATAGTCATTCTTTCTCCTTCATTAGCAGATTCTTTCGATCCTTTCTATTCTTAGCCCTACAACACGATGTGTTTCGACAACTCTTGGCTGGCGGCTTCCTCCCGCGTTCAGCAGGACAGGGATCAAGCAGACACTCAGAAACTAGTCAGGCGATGGGGTTCAGAGCTCTCTCTCAATCCAGACTCCAACCAATTCTGGGCCTCAGAAGAACCAGATAATTTCGAAGACCCCACTCCCGAGCAGTCACCCCATTCGTCCATCGCGGAGGAGCTGCCATGGGCGAAGCGCATGCTGTCGGCGCGTCACCGGGAGTCGGTGGACCTGACCAACAGCCTCCCGGACGAGTGTCTTTCGCACATCTTCTCCTTCCTCCCCAACACCAACGACCGCGGCTCATGCGCTCTCGTCTGCCGCCGCTGGCTGCAGATCCAGGGGCTGCTTGGTTGGAACGGCGCCGCTCCCTTCGCCATAGGCCCTCTGGAGTCCAAACCAGAGGCAATCACCTCAGATGCTGTAGATTCACCGAAGCAGTCTGTAGCGAGTAACGCCGGTGACTTGTCCCGGTGTCTTGAGGGTCGCCATGCGTCAGACACTCGCCTTCTCTCCATGGCCATCGGGTTGCCTAGCCGCGGCGGGCTCAACCGCCTAGTGGTCCGCGGGGACCGTCTGGCAGCAGTGGCGGCAATCTCCACGCCGACTCGCCTCACCAACCTTGGCTTTCAGGCGATTGTCGGTGCGAGTCCCGGGCTGCAGTCACTTACGCTGTGGAACTGCCCATACGTCGACGACGAGGTCCTCCGGATGCTCGCGTCCCGTTGCAAGACTCTCCGCCGTCTCGATATAATGAACTGTCAACGTGTGACCGACAAGGGCCTGTCCGCGATCGCGCGCGGCTGCCACGAGCTGCAGCATCTCAGCGTCTCCGGCTGTTCCCGCGCGTCAAACGCGTTCCTTGCCGCCATGGCTTCCGGCTCCAAACGTCTGATCTCTCTAGCTCTCTCCGATTTACCCCTCGTGAACGAGTATGGACTGAAGCTTCTGGGCTCGTCTTGCAAGGAACTGAAGCGGTTGCGACTTTCCGGGAAGATTGGTCTCACAGATGCGGGTTTGAGGCTGGTGGGTGAGCACGTGGCGGGGCTGCAATGGCTGAAGCTGTCGGATTTGCCATTGCTGACAGAGGAAGGTTTCAGAGCCGTTGGCCAGTCTCCGGGATTCCAGAGTCTGCAGTCTGTCACGCTCGCTGGTTGCAAGCAGCTTACAAACAAGGCTTTAAGGGAGGTCGCGGAGGGGTGCTCCAATGTGAAGAGCCTCAGCGTGTCCAAGTGTCCCGCCGTCTCGTGCTGCGGGATTAAAGACGCTCTAGAAGCAGCGGCTTCCCTTGAGTCCCTAACTCTGCACAAGCTTTCGAATCTGTCCTGCTGGCGAGGCTCGGAAGGAGAAGCGGAGCAGGCGCAGCAGGGGCGCGAGGAGGGGTGTAAGGGCGGATGCTGCATATGGAGCGGCTCCTGCGCCAAGCTTACCAGTCTGTGCATCAGCCACTGCGACGGCGTGGATCGGCGGTGCCTCGGCATGCTCGGTCGCAGCAACGCCAGCCTTCAGTCGCTCGAGCTCGCGGGTCTCGCGGGCGCAGAGGACAAGGGTGTCACGAGCCTAGTAGCCGGCTGCGGGGCGAAGCTTTCCAGTGTGGATTTGAGCGGGTGTTCGCGGATCACAGACAAGGCCGTGGTTGCCATTTCGCGCAGCTGTGGCAGCACAATGAAATCCCTGTCCCTTGATGGGTGCTCCAATGTGACCGACCGCAGCTTGAGAGCCATTGCCTCGTCGTGCGCGGCTCTTGAGGACCTGGACTTGTCCATGTGCGGAATCAGTGACAGGGGGCTGTCTGCTCTGGTCAGCAGCCTTGGGCCATCGCTTCTAAACCTCTCCCTGGCCGGGTGCCAGGGAATCACCGACAAGAGCCTGAAGAAGATCATGACTCAGTGCCATAAGCTTACTGGACTCAACTTGAAGAACTGCCGTGGGTTGACCAAGGAGGCTATTAGATCCATTCAGCTGAGTTCCCACTGTCTTAGTGGGCCGAGCTGCCTATTCGTCGATGATGCCTTGTAGACTGTACGGTATGTAGAACCATTGCGCTAAGCGAGTATTTTGTAAAACCCAAATGCATTTACGATTACAACTTGTTGTCGAATCAGGCGTTTCAGCGAAAAAGTCCAAGCAATGAATTTTCATTGACGGTGTGTTCTTAGCATTGTTCGCATCTGTTGCTGCAACAGCTTGTAGCGTAATAACAACTGCGAAGGCTGACGAAAGACAGCGGAGAATGAAAAGCTAGAAATCTCTAAATATACAACCCCCTAAGGGCGTGTCCTACATACCGTACCAAAAATTCCCCAGCGCTGCTTGGCCTGGCATGGTAAAATCGGGGCTCTGTGCGATACAGTCAGCTCCAGTGCGAAAACTTGTTCGAAATCGCAACTCACGACACGCCCTAAAGAGCAAGAGCTAAAACTTTATAGCTGCTGAGCGACCGCAACAGCCAAGGTCTGGTTATATGTCTGCAAGATGTGACAACAAAGGATCGTCAGGAAAACTGTCCACAAAATCAGGCACACCAGTCACAGAATATAATGGATGAAGGTGCAAACCAAAGGGGCATCCAAGGCGCTAGCTGACCTTCAAGTAGTTGATGTATGCAGCAGCGCTTTCTAGAAGCTCCGCCACGTCAGGTTCCGGACCAACCAGTGACGTAGGTATCGATTTCCGAAGCATAATCAGACATTGCCTGCACATCAAGCACCGACTGGGTAAGAGCCAAGCTTACTACGCATTTTCTCTTAATGCAACGCCCGCCACCACCCAGAATAATAACGAAGAGCCAGGCTTACTTGAGCTGCTCTCGCCTTTTGCTCCACTCTTCAGCAGAAAGCTCGTCGTGATGGCCGCAATGAGCTCCCTCTTCTGCTCTATCGTCCGTGACGGTCGAGCCAAATTCGTCTCTAACAGCCTGCGTCGGCACGCCTAACTGCTCAAAATCCCTCTCAGACCGCTGAGAGGCTTGTGCATGGACAGCGTTATTTTGTACGAGGTCCATGGCTTCAGGCTATGCGTCAATGCTGACACTAAGAAGACCAGGCAGAATGTTCCCTCAGGAGCACGGCTGACTGATGGCTTTGAGAATCGCACAACAACAGATGACACCGAATCAAGCTAAACTGGGAGAGAAGAATGATACCCGACACTATCTGAATCCCTAGCTGAGGGCCTGAACGTAAGGAATTTGGTTGGGGATGCTGTAGAATGGCTAGGGTTGGCTCAGATGCTCTTCACTGGCAGGCGGAAACAGCGCATGGCACTTCTGTACGCTGAGTTATGGCGGGACTGCGGCTGATTGGTTTTGGTCACGATGTTAGTCTACGGCCTGATGTACCCTCAAGGCGGATCGGATCATATCGGGGACAACACGCAGCAGCAACAACAATCAGTCTCCTCGTGGGAAGAAACGACAATAATGGATTGTAAAGGCGTGGTGGAGGGAGGAGCCCGACGACGAGCCCGCGAACGAAACAGTGTTTCGCGATGCGCGAAAAGCTTGCCACTACACTTCTGACCCCTGTTACACCCCGACTAGTCTTGTCAGGAAAATAGCATGCTGACGAACCGCTTACCGTATTTTCAACCCGTCACCATCACAAGTAATTCAAGAGGATTGCTGCAAGCATATTTCAGCCACAAAGAAGATTCTTTCGACGCATCCTTGCAAATCCCTCATCCTCCTGACCTCAAGCTGATTCACACATGTTGCAAGATAAAACCAATCCAAGACTGGAAGCCACAACTGGACGGACACAGCCTAGTGCGAAGCAAACCACGGACCCAGGGGGCCATTTGACTGCGGCCCACTGGTGGACGGCAAGCCCCCACCTGGCAAGCTGCTATTGGCCGAGGCCGATGCAGGCACTCTGCTACCAGGAGCAGGCGATGCCAGCGCAGCATGATGACTCAGACCACTGGACGGATGACCCAGCGCATGCGGCGGCAACCCGTTAGCAGGATGAACAGGCCGAATGCCCATGCCAACTCCAGCAGCAGCAGCACCAACTGCTGCTCCCATGCCTGGGCCCATACCTGAAGCCACCCCAGCAGCAGCACCCGCCACACCCTGCCCTGCCAAGCCGGCAGCAGGCATGGGAAGAGCAGGTACTGCACCGGGGTGGGTAGGGGTGGGGCGATTGGGCAGGTAGAGAGCGCCCATGGAGGGGGCAACGAGGAGGGACTGAGAGGCAGAGGCTGCAGCAGCAGAGCCGGCCGCAGCACCGGCGTGGTCCAATGAGGGGCCGACAGCTAGGCTGTCAGCAAGAGCAGCAGCTGCTGCCTGTTGCGGTGGCGGGGATGGCTGCTGGTGCTGCTGGTGCTGCAGCTGTGCATGCTGCATGTGCGCCTGCGCGTGCACCTGCTGCTGCTGCTGCTGCTGCTGCTGCTGCTGTTGCTGTTGCGGCGGCTGCTGCTGCGGCTGCGCCACTGCCTGTTGCTGCTGCTGGGGCTGCTGGCCCTGCTGCTGCCGCTGCTGCTGCAGCAGCCGAACCTGCCTGAGCCCCTCGTCATGGATCCGAGCCAGAGTGTCAAGCTCGGCAAGCGACAGATTCTCCAACCCAGCGCCGTACAGCGGGGCGTGGCGGGACATCTCCTCCTGGAGCGACGCTTCTAGGGTCTGGATATAGTCCTGGTGCGCGTGTAACTTAGCCTCCATGCCGTCAATGTACGCCTCGTACCGCTGGACCTGCTCCTCCTTCTCCCGCAGCCCCCCCTCCGTCTGCCCCACCGTCTGTGTCAGCCGCCGAACCTCCTCCTCCAGGGACTGCCGAGCCTCGTCGCGAGACACGGTTTCCGTGGCAAAACGCTTGACCTCCTCGTCGAAGCGCTTCCTCGCTTGCTCCGCGCTCTTGAGGCGCTCTGCCAGGGCGTTCTTCTCCTTCACCACTTTCTGCTCAAGGGAGAGGGGTGGACACATGGACAGACGTATGGGGTCCTTGAGGGTCTGCTCAAACACATCCTTGCTTGCTCCGCGCTCTTGAGGCGCTCTGCCAGGGCGTTCTTCTCCTTCACCACCTTCTGCTCAAGGGGGAATAGGAAAACGCATGCAAGATACGTTGACGACAGCTGGGGAGAAGTGGAATGCGCGCCCGCTCAAGAACACAAGGAGGGAACGGTACGTGGTGAACGTACTACTACGATGGCCATGTTGTGGTGAGACAACTACAACAAGTCTCACTCACCTTAAGCTCTTCCATCTTTTGGGGCTTGAGCGGGGTCAGCTGCGCCTCGCTCTCCCTCAGCCGCTCCGCCAGCTGTCGCTTCTCCCCCGCCAGCTTGCTCCCTATACCCTAGAATCAGCTCACCTTCTGCTTCTCCCCATCATCTCACCTTGAGCTCCTCCCTCTTCTGCTCTCACCTTGAGCCCCTCCCTCTTCTGCTCTCACCTTGAGCTCTTCCCTCTTCCGAGACTTGAGCTGCGTGAGCTGCGCCTCGCTCTCCCTCAAGCGCTCCGCCAGTTGTCGCTTCTCCCCCGCCAGCTTGCTCCCTTAACCCCAGCATCACCTCACCTTCTGTTTCACCCCACCATCTCACCTTGAGCTCCTCCCTCTTCTGCTCTCACCTTGAGCTCTTCCCGCTTCCTCGACTTGAGCTGCGTCAGCTGCGCCTCGCTCTCTCTCAGCCGCTCCGCCAGCTGCCGCTTCTCCCCCGCCAGCTTGCTCACCGCCTCGTCCTTCTCCGCCTTGGCCCACTCCACCGCCCCCTCCATCTCCCGCACCCGCTCCACCGCCTCCCTCCGCTCCTTGGCCGCCTTATCAGCTTCGGCCTTCAGCTCAGCCTGCACCAAAAGCATATTGGGGGGGGGGGGGGGGGGGGGAGGGGAAAGAGGGGGGTGAATGCAGGGTAGACTCGTCCTTCTCCGCCTTGGCCCACTCCACCGCACCCTCCATCTCCCTCACCCGCTCCACCACCTCCCTCTGCTCCTTCGCTGCCTTTTAGGCTTCAGCCTTCAGCTCAGCTCGCACAGGCAGCATGCAGGAACAAGGGGGGGTGGGAAAAGTTTTGAGGCGCCTCAAAACTAAAAAGGGGGGGTGGGAAAAGGGAGAGGGGGGGGGGGGGGGGGGGGGGTTGGGGTTGTTGAAGGACAAAAGGGAAGGGGGAAGCAGGGCGCTGGGGCCGACTCGGCCTTCTCCCTTGCAGCCCACTCCACTGCTGCCTCCACCTTCCGCGCGCACTTGGCTCAGCATCTGCTGGGACCAGCACGCTCCCTTTCCTGCCTCTGCACCCGTCCGAGCCCCTCCACACTCATTTGAAGATGATTTTTTAGTCGACTCAAAACGCACTTTGAGTCGACTAGAAAACCTTCCGTGCCTCTGGACCCGCCCCTGCCCCTCCACCCTTACCTGTTCGCATCACGAGGCACACTTACCCCACCACACACCAAGGGGGCGCTCTCACCTTGACCCTGCCCTCACCCTCACCTTGAGCTTACTCTCACCTTGAGCCTGCCCTCACCTTGAGCCTGCTGTCACTCAACCCAACGCACCAAGCAACCACCCCCAAGGAGCCCATCGCACCTTGAGCTTGCCCACCGACGCCTCTGCGTCGCTCAGCTTCTGCTGCAGACCGGCCTTCTCTCAACCGTGCCGCTCCACCTGCCCCCGCCCCTCTGCCTGACCCTGCCACTCCACCCAACAATTAACATTCACCCCCAAGTAGCCCGTCTCACCTTGAGCTTGCCCACGGACGCCTCTGCGTCGCTCAGCTTCTGCTGCAGGCCGGCCTTCTCCCGCCCGTGCCGCTCCACCTGCCCCTGCCCCTCCGCCCGCGCCGCCCGCAGCTCGCCCTCCGTCGCCTGCAGCTGCTGCCACACCACCGCCCGCTCCTGCACCGCCACGTCAGCAGCCTCACGCATGAGGGACAGCACAGGGCGAGCAACACCCTCCTCCTGCGCCTGTTGAGGAAGGTCGCGGAAAGAATGGGGATAGAGGTTGGGACATAGTAGACGAATGGAAGCAGAGAACAGATGGTTAAAGACGTGGGAATTCTCTTACGCTTCCAACCAAGTCGTAGTTCCCCTTCTAGGGTCTTGTGAATCGGCACAAGACAGTCACTCGATCGTAAATAAGCACCTCGTTCATTCCAGCACAACTCACCAGGAACGAGAGGATGTCGAGGCCAAGCTCCCCCTCAGGCGCGCCTCTCTGGCAGCTGGTGACCCGCGCCACAAGCCCCCTCAGGATCCTCTCCCGCCGGCTCGCGTCCCCATACACCTTGTACAGCACCGCGTACAGCGTGCCCACAAACTCCCTCACTCTCTGCTCCTCAGACAACGCCAAAGCTTCTGCCAGGCCTATCACAGTGGGGAAATCGGAGTCCTCCAACCCTGTGGCTTGTGCTGAGGACCCGGAGGGGATCAGGGCGTTGGACGAGGGGTCTGGGGAGGTGGAAGGGGAGATGCCTGCTGCTGCTGCTGCTGCGGCTGCTGCGCCGCCAGTGGTGCAAGAGGAACTGCAGGGCTCGAGGCACCTTTCATGCGCCTGCTGCTGCTCCAGCTGCTGCTGCTGTTGCTGCTGTTGCTGCTGCTGCTGTCGCCTCTTCTTTCTGGAAAGCGGCTGCTGCGGCTGCTGCTTCCCCTGCTGCTGCTGCCTCTGCTGCTGCTGCTGCGACCCAGGCCCCTGACCCAGCATCTGCGTCTGAGCCTGCGGCTGCTGCTGCTGCTGCTGCTGCTGCTGCTGCTGCTGCTGGTCATCACCCCTAAGCTCACCCCCAGCGGACGCTGCCCCACCGGTCAAGGCCGGCATGCCAGCAGCACCACTCCCAACCGCACTCCCATCCATCCCATCCATCCCAGCTCCCGCCGACGCAGCCGACAGCGCAGCCAGGTGCTGGGACCTCCTTCTCTCCAGCACCATAACCATCGCCTGCTCTCCAAACGCCCCCCGCGCCACCGCCCGCTCAAACACCGCCTGCGCGTTGGCGCACAGACGTGGCAGCGTGAGCATCTCCATCAGCATGTCCACGTCAGCAACGCGCCAGCAGGCGGCGGCTGCTGCTGCCATCACCGCGGCCTGCTGCGCTGCTGCCAGCTGGAGCTCCGCTGCTGCTGCTGCCGCTGCTGGGGAGGAGGAGGGGAGGGCAGGGGCAGGAGAGGAGGCGTAGGGGGAGAAGGCAGCGAGGGTGCTCGCGCTGGCGCTGCTGCTGCTGCTGGTGATGGAATTCGTGGGAGACCCCCCCGCATTCGCTGCTGCAGCCGCAGTAGCAGCAACGCTCGAGACCATCCCGCCGTTACTACCACCCCCCCCTGCTGCCGCCGCCACCGCCGCTGCCGCCGCCGCCGCCGCAGCGGTGTTATTCGCAGAAGCAGAAGCAAACGCAGCGAGACTTTCTAGAGCTTCAGGGGTGAGAGAGTGCTGAAGGTGCGAGAGGTCAATCTGCCCCATGGACGCCATCTGCGCCATGGGGAGGAGCGAGGGCAGCGAGGCGGCGGCTGCTGCCATAGCGGAGGAGAGCAGGTGCGGGTTGAAGGGGCGCGTGTCGGCGTCGATGTCTCGCAGCATGGCCATTGCAATGTCCTCGCGAGCCACCACGGAGGCACGTAGCGCGTGCAGCACGCGGGGGGAGACGGCTGGACCCAGCTGCTGCAGTCTCTCGCGCACTGCCCGCACCTGGCAGAGGGAAGGGGGAAGGGGAAATGTGGAGGGCGGAACGGGGAAGAAGGGTGAGTCAGCGGATATGACAAGAGCCAACACAGGGAAGACAAGGGGCGAGCTTACCGCAGGGGCGAGCTGCTGGCACTCGGCTGCTGCTTTGAGCACGAAGCTGAGAGCAGCGGCGAGGGCGTCGTCGGTGGTGTGCGGCAGCAGTAGCACGGCTTCCTCCAAGACGTGCGACCAGGTGAGCGGATCCAGCTCCATCTGCACCAGCGCGCCCACCACCTGCAGGAAAGAAGAGTGGACATGGTATACATGGTGTGCGAGAAATCGGTACGGGGCAAGCTACACCTTTGGCATGCTAAACCTTTGCCCAAGACGGAAAAAAAAAAAAAAAAAAAAAAAAAAAAAACGCTACATCGTAGGCATGCTACACGATCCATGACCCAAGTGCCAGCAGCTGCATCATAGGTCCGGCTCCAGGCTGCGAAGCCGCCTCAAGAGCAAAAGGTTTTCATTTTAAGCACCTCGAATCAGTGAGCACCTAGACTCCACCAGCAATCCACATACCGGCAGCTGCATCATAGGCTCGGCTCCTGGCTGCCGGAGCCGCTGCAGCAGCGCCGCAGCCGCCTCCCCGTGCTCTGCCAGGTCCACCAGCCTCGGCACCAAGCCTAGGATCTCGGCTTGGAAGGCCCGCGGCGCGTGCTCCAGCACCAGCGCCACCTTGCGCGCTGAGTGCGGGCGGCGCCGCAGGGGGGGGTCTGGGTAGGGGTACGCTTGTGCTTGGGGCACAGCAGTTTCGAGGGCGCGCAGGGAGTCCACTATGATGCCCAGCAGCTCGTCTGCTTGCTCCGGCCACTTGATCTGTGAAAGACGGGGGAGGGGAGAGGGGGAGAGGCAAGGTGGGGGAGAGGGTGTGGGGAAGGGGGAGGGGGAGAAAGAGGATAGGAGGGATTGGGTGGAAGGTCAAGGGGAGGGGGAAGCCGACGGCGGGTGGGGGAGGGGAGAGAGGGGGACAGAGGGTGGGGTATCGGATTGAACGAAATGAGGTTCGAGAGGACAGAAGGTAGGGGCAAATGGAAAGGTGAGTCAAGACGGGAACGGAACGATCAGGTGAACGTACAGATGTGGGAAGCTGCCGCTGACCCCTCTGCTGCTGCTGCTGCTGCTGCTGCTGCTGCTGCTGCTGCTGTTGCTCTGAGCTCTCACCATTCGCACTGGTCACCACAGACCCACTACTGCTGCTCTCCCCATCCGCCACTGCATTCACCCTCCCCCCCACGCCCTTCCCCCCACCCTGCGCCCCAAACGCTTCCCCACTACTGCTGCTGCTGCTGCTGCCGCTCCCCCCTGCTCCCAACACCCCCCTGCTGCCGCCCCCGCACTCGCTCCCTTCCCCCCTCCCCCCCCGCCTCCCGCACTGCCTGTGCTGCTTCCGCCCCTGCGCGCCCCCCCTCCCCCATTAACCCCATACCCGCTGCCATAGCTGCTGCTCTGCACAGCCGCGTCGGACCCCCCCGCCCCCCCGTGCCCCTGCTCTAGCCTCTGCGCCACAGACAGCTCCTGAAAGGCGGAATCCGAGGGGTCTCTCCGTCCCCCTGACCCGCCACCTGCGCCCCCGCCTCCCCCTCTCTTCCCCTCGCGGGGGGCGGGGGCGGAAGTGGGGGCGGATGCGGGGAGGGAAGGCGGAGGCGTGCAGGCGGAAGGCGCTAGGGGAGGGGTGGAGGCGGACGGGAGAGGGACTGGAAGGGTGGGGAGAGAGGCTGTGCTGTCGTCTGCAGTGAGGGAGGAGGGCAGCAGGGAATGGAGAGAGGGTCAAAAGGAGGGGGAGAGAGGGAGAGAGACACATGGAGCCAGCATGATCGAGTCAATTGGAAGGGATTGGGGCATAGTGCAACCAGCCAATCCATGTGGGGCGCAACAAGAATCACACAGAATCACACAGAATCACACGAATCACACAGAAATCAGAGAAGAGCAACAGTGCCATACCATCTCAAAATGCTCTCCTCTGCCCTCCCTAAGGTCTCTTAACCTCCCCCGTTTCTCACCTGTGCTGAACAGGCGTGCCGCCTCGCCGTCGCCCTGGTTGGGGCTGCGCTGCTGGCAGCACTCCACCATGATATCCAACAGCAGGTCCACTATCGCCTGCTGGAGCACCTTCACCCCCATCAGCAGATTCACCAGCGACGGATGCTCCCCCTCCCCCTGCCCCTGCCCTTGCCCCTGCCCCACCTGTCCCTGCCCCTGCCCCTGTCCCCCCGCACCCCCCTGCTCCTGCCCCCCCCTCCCCTGGTTCTGCCCCCGCTGCTGCCCGCCCCGCCCCCCCTTGCCGTACCCGCCCCTTCCCCCTGCGCCAGAGGCGGGGGTGGAAGTGGAGGCGGAGGCGGAGGCGGAGGCGGGCTGCGCGGGCGGGAGGAAGAGGCGCTTGATCTTGGTGGGGTCGTCCAGGTAGGTGCGCAGCCCGCCCAGGAACGTCGCCACTGCGCCCGCGTCCATTAGGAGCTTCTCGCGCAGGGTGACCTGTGGGCGCGAATGGGGGATGGGGAACCGAGGCACGATTGGCGGGAGGGGGATGGGAAAGGGACGGTCGTCCAGGTGGGTGCGCAGCCCGCGCAGGAAGGTGGCCACCGCGCCAGCGTCCATTAGGAGCTTCTCGCGCAGGGTTACCTGTGGGCGTGAATGGGGGGGGGGGGGGGAGGCGCGGGAAGGGGGGTTGGGCGGGGGTCGCAGGGGGGAGGGGGGGGCAGGTGGATAGGGAAGAAGACGTTATGAGGCGACTCTAAGCCCACACCTCAGATGGAAGCTCGCCTGACTATCTAGACGAGACGACCCACAATCACTCGAATATTCTGGGAAAGAAAGAGTCGTCAAGCCCCGCACCTGCAACTGAGTGGGGTCGAGCAGCAGCGGCGAGTTGTCCCCGTAGCTCAGGTGGAAGCCCGCGCGCACGAGCAGCGAGCGGAAGATGTCCTCCTCGTCGCCCATCACCCCTGCCGCTGAAGCAGCCCCTCCTGCAACCCCTCCCGCAGCACCTCCCGACACCACACTGGACGTGGCAGCAGCAGCAGCAGCACCACCACCACCACCACCACTACCAGCAGCAGCAGCGGCGGCAGCAGCAGAGCCAGCAGCAGAGGAGGCAGGCGGAGCGAGGGATGAGGCGGGCATGGGTCCCCCCGGCCCTGGTTCGCCGTCGTCGCTGTCGAGCAGCTCCTCCCCGTCCGTGCTGAGCCCATCCCCATCCTCCTCGTCCTCCTCCTCCTCCTCCTCCTCGTCCTCCTCCTCCTCGTCCGACATCATCACCTGGCCAGGTACGCCCTGAACATGGGAGGGAGGCAGGAAGAAGAGGCGTGTTTCAAGGCAACCCCGAGTAAAACCGTCCCATCCTCCTCCTCCTCCTCGTGCCCAGGCACATACACACTCGCCTCCTTCCACACACCTTGACTCCTCTCCTCTTGTATTTTGAGTCGACTCAAAATACACCTTGACTCCTCTCCTCTCCCACTCTCACCTCCACCACCACACAATCACCTCCCCCCCCCACCCACACACTCACCTCGAGATCCGAGAACTCGAACCATGGGCAGCAGTCCAGGATATCGCACACAAACACCACGGTATCCCGCACCAGAAACCCCCCTTCCGGGTCCAGCAGCTCGGCGACCTTCATTAGCTGCAGCACGCTGTTGTTCCACGTGCGCGTGCACACGCTCGCTTCCTTCCACACGCTCGCCTCCGCCGCCTTCTGGTTCACGATGCCAATCTTGTACCGCACCCAGAAGTTCTTGTCCATGTCCGGCGCCGCCATGGTGGTGGCTGTGGACGACGGGCCTGCTCCTGCCATGGCCTGGTCGCTCTCCAGATAGATGCAGAGCGTGTCAAACGACTCGTATACGCCTGGATGGTTGGGGAGAAAGAAGGGGGGTTGGGTGGCGGGGGAAGGAGGGGGAGGGGAGAGTGGAGGGTCAAAATGCGTGGGGGGTCAGTGCACAGGCGCGTCCAAGGACCCCGGCAGAGAATAGGGGACAGGAAGCACGGGAGCAGTGAGGAATTCGCGTGAGAGCGAGGGGATGGGGAAGGAGAGAAATACGCCGCAATTGCGGAAGGGAGGACGGGGGAGGGGGGGGGGGGGGGGAGGGAGGAATACGCGGTGCTTGCTGGGAAGGGGGAGCGAGGAAGCGAGCAATACGCGGAAACGAGAGTGCGAAACGCACGCGGCCGGGGCATGGAAAGAAATGGAAACGTGGCGATCGCAACGGGGGGTGAAGACTACTCACCAATGCGGAGGTCGCAGCCGCCCGCAGAAAAAAAAAAAAAAAAAAAAAAAAAAAAAAAAAAAAAAACTTGCTAAAAAAACTTCCTTTGTCTCAATGACCTTATGATCTCCTTGAACGCGAGGGAATTCTCCACCTTCCCATGTACCAATCGCAGCCCCCCTGCAGGCCCCGCCTTGAACAGCAAGGAGCAAGCGGTGACTCACGAGAGTACGTACCAATGCGGAGGTCGCAGCCGCCCGCCGAGAAGAACTTGCTGAAGATCTTCCGCGTCTCCATGATCTCCTTGAACGCCAGAAAATTCTCCACCTTCCACGTGAAAACGCCCCGCTTGGCGATCTTGTTCGCGCCCGTCACATCCAGCGCGCCCCCCGCGATCAGCTGCGCCGTGCCCGCGCCCCCTATGGCCACCAGCCCCGCGGGGGACGCCGCGCCCTCGTCCGTGTACTCGAACAGGAACGACGACTCCTTCAGTATAAGCACCTCCGCGGAGAACACCACCGTATCCGATACAAGGAACCCCGAGTCTAGGTCAAAGAGCGAGGTCAGCGTCACGAACTCGCGCCAGCCCCAGTCTTTCGCGGCCTTGCTGTAGCGATTCTGCGACTCCTTGGCAACGCACCGGTCCTCCTGGCGCTGGTTGACCACCGACAGGCGGTGGCTGACGAAGCAGCTCCAGTCCGCCGACGGCACACGCGAGTCCGTCACCTCGAGGAACATCGACAGGTGGCATGGCGGCTGCGACTGACCTGCGGGGGGGGGTGGGGGGAGCGGGGGGAACGGGGTGTACCGGGGGGTGCGGGAGGATACCGGGGGATACGGGCGGATACGGGGGGGGCAGGAAGTTATTCGATAAAAGCGGAACGCACTCGCGAAATGGGTTGAACGACAAAAGCGGAGGGCAACGGAGGGTTTGGGGAATTCGGGGGGGGGGGGGGGGGGGGGGAACAAAATGAGGCGAACTGGAGCAGGAGCACTAGAGGTGGGGAAGAAGGCGCGGAATAAGAGAGACGAACAGAAGAAGGCGAGCAGCTTCCGTACGAGAGGGAAACGCAACGTTGAGAAAGTCGCGAACGTCTACACGCCATTCTCCCAGTCTCAACAGGCGTACCTCCCGACCAACAGAGCCGTACCTCAAAAGCAACAGAATCGTGCCTCGCGGGAAGCCGATTTCGTACCTCGCGGGTAGACGATGAGGCGGCAGTCCCGACCGCCGACCTGGAAGCGCTTGCTCTTGATGCAGAGCCCCGTGATCTTGCGCTTCTTCAGCAGGTCCTTGAGCCGCGTGAAGTTATCGATCCGCCACACGAACTTCCCGAAGTACCCGTCGCCCTTCTTCACGTTGCTCCCCCTCCCCCCCGGCAGCGACGGGTTTTTCGAGAACGTGCTCGACTCTTTGATGACGTGGAACGACGCGCTGAACACGGCCGTGTCGTCGACGAGGTACCCGGCGGTTGCGGATACGAAGTCCGCCATGCGCATGTAGTCGTTCCACCCGAGGCTCGTGTTGTCGCCGCTCTTGTTGTCCGCCGCGAATCGCCCGTACGAGTCCCGGTGCACGTGGTTCGATCCTGGCCGTTGGTTCAGCACCGACATGCGGAACAGGCACCAGCAGCTGCGCTCCGGCCCGGACGACTTATCAACGTCCTTACTCTCCAGGCACATGGAGAGGTAATCGACGTTGTTGACGGACGACTGGTAGACGCTCAGGCGGAGGTTGCAGTCGCCGGCGGGAAACACGGGGCTCATGATCTTCTGAGTCTTAATCATCTCCTTAAACAGCGAGAAGTTGTGCACTTTCCACGAGAATTTTCCGCTAACAACCTCCCCGGTAGCGGGAGTAATCGACGACGCGAGCACCTCGTTATCGCGCGAAAACGACACGGACTCGTTAAGGATAAGGATCTCCGCCGTGATCAGCACCGCGTCGTTCGTGAGAAACCCAGCGCGGGAGTCCAACACGACCGACGACGGCGTGAAGTCGCACCACCCGTGCGACTTTTTCTTCCCGGAAAACCGATGCCACGAATCCCGCTGCACCGTCTTACTGTCGTCCTTAACGTTAACCACGCACAGGCGATAACTCGCGAAGCAGTCCCACTTGCTACTAGCCGTTCCCCGGGGATCCGTCAGCTGGAGGTATATGGATATATACCCGGGAAGAGCCTGCGAATCGCCTTTCGGGTACACCAACAGTCGGCAGTCAAACCCGCCTACTTCGAAATACTTGCTCCAGAGTGCTCGAGCCTTGACCTTGCCGAACTGCGCGATGGTCCATTTGCAAATCGCCGCGTGGTCGCCCTTGCGCTCTACGACGACCGACTCCTGGCCGGCCTCCTTGGGGTCGTCTATGCTCTCGTTGCCGCGCAGCTGCACCTTGTCGCTGCGAGATCCGGGCAATGTGCCGTCCGAGTTGATCTGGCACGCCGTCGCTCCTGACTCCTCCGCCTTCCTCATTATGGCAGGATATTAAAAAAAAAGGGGTGTGACGGCTAAGGAAACTGGAGGTATGGTTTAAAAATAGACAGACATCACGGATGGATTGATCTGAAACTGCACCTGCTACCCTCGGACGCTGCTAAGACGAAACCTAATCTGACCGCAACGACTGGAAAATATATCTCAGCGGTCCTAATGAATAATACAGCGGCGAAGCTGGAACCTCCTATAAGAATCGTGAAGTCTAAGCAATCACGCTAACCCACTGGTCCCGCAACTAAGTACACTAAGACAGCCGGTCGCGTCAACAAAGCAACCGTACTAGCTCCCTAACGCCAGATCTGCTAACTCAAAAATGGAAGGAAGGCTGAAGACAGAGAGGCAAGGCGGAGGAGTAAACCAGAAACCCTAACTTGCTGCCTCACGTTTCCTCCCCGTGTTCTTCCCCGTGGTCCCCCTCGCATTCCTCTGCCACGTATTCCTCCCCCTCGGGATTCCCTGCAACTGGATTATCCCCTCTCTCTTCCATCTGCCTCAATCAACCCCCCTAGATCCCGCTGCACCAGGCGGTAGGGAGCGACTCTCCGTCCTGAAGCAGGCAGTGACGAGACGAGGTTCGTCCTCCGTTTCGTTGCGTTCCGTCAGGATGGCTACTGGTTCGCAGACGGAAAACCTTCTCGAAGAACAGAAAGGCGGAAGAGCTTTCGCGGCAGCCGTCATCTTCGACAGGGAGTGTTTCGCTGTTGTTACACTCACCAGGAGATTGGAATGTAGCTAGCTACATCTGTTTTCTCAAAGCGAATCCAATCGCAAAGAATTTTGCACGTGGACATTGCTAAGGAAGGCAACAAAATTGGATCCCTTACTGACTGGAGTCAGAGGTGAGATCTGGTCCGAAGTTATGTGAGCACATATCCCAGTCACCTGTTCCGCCTCCGAGCACGGAACGCGCTAACTGTCGTCCTTTCTTTGCGCAGCACTGATCGTCAAGCCGATCGCGTCTTCACCAGACAAAGCCGTTTTCTCATCAAAACCGTAAATCTCGTTCACCTAGGGATCTCCGCGATGTGGTCCTCCAGACACGCTCACGCGCCCTGGCCGCGCCCGAGCGTCGGGCGCTTCTGCTACCTCGTGGTGGCGATCGCCGCGGCCATCGTGATGCTGCACCACCACAACCAGATGCAGCAGGAGATCGACATCAATCGACGGTCCAGGTCAGCCGATCGCTCTCCGCTCCGCGTCTCAAACCCTGCTCGCCTCCTCTAAAGCAGGCTAATTCTCGCAACATGCTGTACCTTTCCCCTTCCGCGGTTACGACCTCATTTCCAACTGCGTCTCCTTCGCGTGTGTCATGCGTGTGTCGTATGTGGATGGTGCGTGTGTGGATGGCGCGTGTGTGGATGGCGCGTGTGTGGATGGCGCGTGTGTGGATGGTGCGTGTGGATGGTGCGTGTGTGGATGGTGCGTGTGTGACACGTGGCAGGGATCAGATGGAGCGGCTGTACGAGGCGATGCGGCGGCAGGAGGGCGAGTGGAAAGCGAAGGCGGAGGACGAGCGGCTGCGACTCGCGGAGGTCATGGACGCCTGTGGCAAGGTCGGACGTGACACTGTTGTGGCTCTCTTGTGACTCTGTTGCGACTCTGTTGTGACACAATCGAAGGGGCACAATTGAAGGGACATTCACCTGCGTTTTCAGCCACGCACCCAGAGTCTTATCATCGCCTGCTGCTGTGTCTTGTGCTGCTGCCTCTCCTGTCTCTCCTCTCCTGCTCTCTCTCGCTCTGCAGGTTCGGCAGCAGCTGGCGTCCGAGCTGACGCTCAGCCAGCAGCAGGAGCAGCAGATACGCGCGCTGCAAGAGGTGCGCTTGGGACAGGGCGTATCTGCAAGAGGGAAAGGGCGTCTAAGGGGGGGGGGGGGGGGATTGTGAGAGGGAGATAACACAAGAGCGAGAGGGAGGGGGAGGGAAAGTATTCAGGGAGACGACGAGCGAGCGAGAACACTTGCCTGTCAAGCGTGCATCCTCGTTAATATGTGATGTGTATGTGTGTTTGGTGCCGTGATTAATGGGTTCTGAGCCATGCATATGTGCTTCCCTGCGTGCTCCTGTCTCACTTGTGCCTGTCTGCCTTGTGCCTGTCTCTCTTGCGCCTGTCTCCGTTGCGCCTGTCTCCGTTGCGCCCGTCTCCCCTGTGCCTGACCTGACCTTACCAGGAGCTGCGAGCAGCACGGGCCAATCCCAAGGATGACAAGGCAAAGAAGCCGCCGGAAGGGGGCAATCCGTGACCATCTTTGAGCGTGCACAGGTTTGATCAGTGCACTTGCAGAACTATCATCATGCCATGCATGCGCGGGCACGGCACACATGGGTGCGGCAACCGGAGTCCGGGGCACGCATAGCCTGGGCACTCACAGGGAGAAGCTGCAAGCGCGGGGAGGTGGGACTGACAAGTTTCACACAGGCGCGGAGTCCGCCACGCACCCACCTCAAATGTTTCCAGCATTTCTTCAGCAGCCATGCTCTCACACACCCGGTGGCAACACTTGAGCATCTCAACTTGCCAAGGGGTCAGCAGCACGACTAAGGGCCGTGCCAAGGGGGGGAGAGAGAGGCACGACTAAGAGCCGCGCCTCACTGAGCCAGCTACCAGCATGTCGGTCGGGCCGTTCCTGAAGGGCTCTCAAGACAACACCATGTCAGAGGCTACCAAAAGCCGTCAGAGGCTGTCAGAGGCTGTCAGAGGCTGTCAGACAGGCAGGCGACATCAGGCGTTGAGGCAGTGCAGCAGAATTGGCAGGCCATGCGGCTTCCCGTCATCAGCAGCTGCCTGGGTATCGTGACGTGGTGTGGCGTGAACCTACTGATAAGAATTTTGGCCAGGAAAGGACTCCACTCTGTCCACTGTCAGGTTGCAACCGTGCCCTGTAGTCCTGGCAAAAAGCAGAGCTGACTCAACCCGTCGAAGCTGTCTTCGTCAAGCGCTTTGCCACTGTTGTCAACCTGTGGAAAACTCGTACCTTTAGATAGTACCCGATGAATTTAATGAGCCTCGGTGTCTTTCTTCGCCACGTTCTGTCTTCAAAATTGCTGCAGATGAAAGCTCCGATTAATTGTGAAAGCCTTGTTCTTTGTTGTTGGCAGTGGCTGTGAATGTTAGGGTGCACACTGCACATGTTACAGTGCAGGCATTGCCAGCCTGCAAAGTGGTATGAATGGATTTAATGCAGTTCACATAGTGAGGAGGAGCTCAGTATGCGAGTCGACAAACACTTGCGTATGTGGTACTACCGGTATACTCAATCAAGGCAGCACTGTACGGTGCATGGATCGAGTGCGGCGGCGGGATGTAGGCTGCAGCACTCCCAGCACCTGCAGCTCCGACGCTGCTGTGAGGAACCTTGCCCTGTGGGGATGGGATAGGATGAGACGCGATAGAAGAGCAATGATTTAGTTACCTAAAAGTAAAATAAATTGTGAGAAGGCTGAGGCAAGCATAAGGTTTGGGAGGAAAAATGCGCGAGCACAAGGAGTGATGACGGGGCCGAGCACAAAGAGTGAGGGACGCAACTGGATCTGTTCGACTGAAAGTGTCGCCTCCACAGCCCCATATGTCCCCCTGCTTTCCCCCTCATTGCCAGGCGCACCCTTCCTCTTCCTCCCCCTCTTTGCCGCTCCTCCCCCTTTCGACCCAGCAGCCTTCCCTGCATCGTTCTGCTCTCCCTTCTTCCCTTTCTTCCCACGCCCCCTGCCCCTCCCGCCAGCACCACCAGCATCATCATCACCAGGACCCGTTGCATCACTAGCTACAGCCCCAGCAGCAGCAGGAGTGCAAGCAGCAGGGGGGGCACAAGCAGCGCGAGTGGCGGCAGCAAAGGACGAGAGGAGGTCCCGGCTGTCAGCAGCAGGGCCGGGCATAGCTGACACAATGGCGTACAGGCGCGCTGTGTCATGCGCAGTCGAGGCTGCTGGGATACGGGTAATTTGAGACGACCTCCTAGTAATCTCCAGAATATCATGGGTGGGTGATGACGCTGGAATAAGCCCCCTTTGAGCTGATGGCTTCGGGGGAGTAGTGGTGTCAAGTGCAGGTGAGGGCGCTGGAGATATCTGCTTCTGAGGTGAGCGCTTAGAGAAGTTAATGATGTCAAGTGCGGTTGATGACGTGGGAACCAGGTGCATTTGTTGCTGTTGTGACTGCACTTGATCCTTCTCCTCCTCATGCTGTTCTTGCTGGGTGAGGTCGGAGCGAAGGGAGGAGAGCACCGCAGCTCCCGAAGGGAACGCCGAGAGGGAAGTGAGAGTGGCAGTGGAAGAGAGGGAAGCAGGAGCTTCCACGATGAAAGGCTGCAGGCGCGGGTGAGAGGACCAGTCGACTGCACAGAGGCTGGATGGGGGTGTGGGGGGGGGGGGGAGAGGGAATTGGAAGGGAAAGGGGGGGAGTGAGAGTGGCAGTGGAAGAGAGGGAAGCAGGAGCTTCCACGATGAAAGGCTGCAGGCACGGGTGAGAGGACCCGCTCACTGCACACAGGCTGGACGGGGGTGGGGGGGTGTGTGTGGGGGGGAGGGGGGGGTGAAAGGAAGAGCGGGGGTGTGGGAGTGGTAGTGGAAGAGAGCGATGGGGGAGTGCAGTGCAGGTAAGGGGCTGACCCGCCAGCCCGCTGACCCGCTGACCTGCTGACCCCCTGACCCGCCAACCCGCCAACCCGCTGACCCGCTGACCCGCTGGCCCCCCAACCCGCTGGCCCGCTGACTCGCCAACCCACTGACCCGCTGACCTGCTGACCTGCTGACCCGCTGACCCGCTGACCCCCTGACCTGCTGACCTGCTGACCTGCTGACCCGCTAACCCGCAGACCCGCCAACCCGCTGACCCGCTGCCCCGCCAACCCGCCAATCCGCTGACCAGCCAACCCGCTGACCCGCCAATCCGCTGACTTGCTGACCCGCTGACCCGCCAACCTGCTGACCCTCCAACCTGCCAACCCGCTGACCAGCCAACCCGCTGACCCGCCAACCCGCTGACCCGCCAACCTGCCAACCCGCTGACCAGCCAACCCGCTGACCCGCCAACCCGCTGACCCGCCAACCTGCTGACCCACTGACCCGCCAACCCGCTGATCCGCCAACCCGCTTACCCGCTGACCCGCCAACCCGCCAACCCGCTGACCCGCTGACCAGCCAGCCCGCTGACCCACTGCCCCGCCAACCCGCTGACCCGCCAACCCGCTGACCCGCCAGCCGGCGAAACCGCTGACCCGCCAACCCACCAACCCGCTTACCTGCTGACCCAGCGGACCCGCTGACCCGCTGACCAGCCAACCCGCTGACCCGCTGACCCGCCTATCTGCTAACCCGCCAACCCGCCAACCCGCCAACCCGCCGACCCACCAACCCGCCGACCCGCCAATCCGCTGGCCCGCCAACCCACCAACCCGCCAACCCGCCAATCCGCTGACCCGCCAACCCGCTGACCCGCCAACCCGCTGACCCGCCAACCCACTGACCCGCCAGCCCCCCAGCCCGCTGACCCGCCAACCCGCTGACCCGCCAACCCGCTGACCCGCCAACCCACTGACCGCCAACCCGCTGATCCGCCAACCCGCCAACCCACTGACCCGCCAACCCGTAAACTTAAAAACTCGCTGACCCGCTGACCCGCCAACCCGCCAACTCAAGAATCACCGCTGAACGGATGCAGTTGCTGTTGCTGAACGGGGAAGTGGAGAGATAACTGCTGCTGCCAGGCTCTTGGTCCAAAAAACCATCTCACCCCGGACAGTAGGGACCTGCCTCAAACAACCCAATTCTCGGAAAAAAATCCCTGCTGCATGCGGCAGCAGCTGGTCTAAGAGCGACTGGGGGGCAGTCTAACTTTTAGGCGCCTAAAAAATATATGCCTCAAAGAACCTCAATTCTCAGATGCATGTCCCTGAAGCATGCGGCAGCAGCTGGTCTAAGAGCGACTGGGGGGCAGCAGGAGAGGCTGGAGGGTGATGAGGCACGTCAGGAGACCCTGAAACCTTGAACACACCCTTGGTTGGATTCTCACCGGCCTAGAGGGGCTGGAGGTTGATGAGGCGCGCCGGAAGACTCGGACTGGAGACCTTGAGCACGCCCTTGGCTGGATTCTCACTGGCCTACAGACGCCAGCAGCGCTTGCAGTTTGCCCGACACTTGCGGCAGCTGCTGGTTGCAGAGCGACTGGGGGGCCAGAGAGGAGAGATAAGCCTCACCATTGAATCACCGCAACACTCACCGGACGAGGGCTGTCAGCAGCACTTGCAGTTTGCCAGCCATGTGCAGCAGCAGCTCGTCACAGAGCGACTGGGGGGCGGGAGAGGCTGAAAGGCAGACAGGTGGTGCAAGCAAGACCACCGAGTCACCTCAACTCACCGGACTAGAGACGCCAGCAGCGACTGCAGTTTGCCAGCCACGAGCGGCAGCAGCTGGTCCCACAGCGACTGGTTGGCGGCAGGAGGGGCTGCAGGGTGCTGCCAGGGAAGGGGCGCCGCTGTGCCAGATGGTGCTGATGATGCTGCTGGCGGTGATGATGCTGCTGGCGGTGATGATGCTGCTGGCGGTGATGATGCTGCTGGCGGTGATGATGCTGCTGGCGGTGACGCCGCTGACTGCAGCAGCATGGCCCTGAAACGGAGTGGGTTGGGCGGGGATCAGGGTGGAGGGTGCTGAGATGCAAGGGGCGCCGCTGTGCCAGATGGTGCTGATGGCGCTGGTGCTGACAAGGGAAGGGAGGCTTGGATCTGGAGGGTGCTGAGATGCAAGGGGCGCCACTTTTCCAGATGGTGCTGATGGCGCTGGTGCTGACAAGGGGGGTGGATTGAAAGGGGCGCGGATGCATGGACTAGGAAAAGGCACGTCTGTTGCAGCAGATACACATGGCTCAGCACAAGTTGATGCTAATCACGATCCTTGCCCACCTTCGCCTTACGGCAGCGCTGGAGCCCCTTTGAGCTATACTACCTGCCCCCTACTCCCGCCCCTCCCACGAATGTCATCAAGCCCCACCCACCCTTGTTTCCTCCTATCCCAAACGTCATTCCGCGCACCTTCGCCTCATGGCAGCGCTGGAGCCCCTTTGCGCCAAGCTGGCAGCAGCACCTGCACCAGCCCCTCCACCTCCCGCCCTTGCTCCTCCCACCACACCCACCCCGCCATCCGCTCCCCTCAGCACTGCTCCTCCTGTTGACCCTCCTCCTGCCCCTCCAGAGAGGTGGCCTGGCGCATCCGCTCCTCTTCTCTTCTCCTCGTATCTCCTCCCTTGGATCCATCCCTTTCCGCTTCCCTGCTGCTCCTGCTGCCACTGCTGCTCGTTCTGCTTTGGTTCGGCGCACCGCTGCGTCGACCGAGGCTTGGATCTGCCGAACCAGACGAAGGGGCTGTGCCAACGCAAAAGGGGACAAAATAACAGAATAAGCCACGGAGGATGGATGGATCATGGATGTGTTCTGTTTTTGAGAATTCTAAAAAACAATCCACAGAGGATGGATGGATCATGGACGTGACATCGCCATGCCCACTCTACTGCCACTCAAGAGTAACCCCAGAAACGAACCCCAGAAAGCAACCCGCAGGGACTCACCTCAGGCAATCTGGCACAAGCGAGCTCCAGCCAATCCAGCAGCTTCACTGCTCTAGCCTCATCTCCCCCCTGCCAAGCCCACTCTGCTTCCCCTCCCCTCCCTCCCGTCTGCCTTTCTTCCTCCTTCCCTCCCTCCTCTCCTCCTCCCCTCACTCCCTCCTCCCCTCCTCCACTCCCTCCCGTCTCCCTACTCCCTTCCATCGCACCCTCTCCTCCCCCACTCTCTCCACATGTTTCCACCCGTCCTCCTTCCGCCCTGTCCTTGCACCGGCTTCTGTCCTTTTTCAACCCAACTCGTGGCTCCTCAGACCATACCTCCTCTGTGCTGCCCTCCTCCATCGTCCCGCAACTTCTCTCTGCAAGCACTGCATTCATGCCACCACCCCTTGTCCTCTCGCATCTCCGCTCCTGCTCTTCCAGCTCGTGCCTGGAAGCAAGCAAGGAAAAGGTGTGAGAAAAAGCAGACTTCTGAGTCGACTCAAAAGTTGCTCCTGCTCTTCCAGCTCGTGCCTGGGACCAAGCAAGGAAAAGGTGTCCGAAAAAGCATGGGGGAACGAACAGCAAAAGCAAAGGAGGGACCAAGTGAACAGGCCAACAGACATAAGGCGGCTAGCTCGGCCATGGGGTAAGTAACTCGGCCATGGGGTCAGTAACTCGGCCATGGGTTCAGTAACTCGGCCATGTGGTAATTTACTCGGCCATGGATTTTCTGAGTCGACTCGAAGCACACACACTCACACACACCACCTGGTAAGAACGTTTGTGGCATGCGCCAGTCGCTGCAGACACAAGATGGCACCACAAGACGACTTCTGATTCGACTCAACAGCACGCACCTAGCAAGCACGTTCGCCGCACGCGCCAGTCGCTGCAGACACTCCGTGTGACCCAGCGCCTGGCCCACGGACGCCACAGCAGCAGCAGGCGCAGGAGCTGCAGGCTCAGTCCTCTGGTGAGACCCCGACCCCAGGGCAATCTGAAGTGCTGTCGGCGCGGAATTGACAGGGCAACCCCCCTTTGCTGTGGGATCGGGGCCTCCAGCTGAGGCAGCGAATGTTGGTGTGGGTGAGATGGTGGGGAGAGGGGTGAGGGAGGAGAGGAGGCGGAGGAGGGACTCGGGGGCGGGGGTGTTGGGGGGGGAGAGGGAGGGGTGGGAGGAGGCGAGGAGGAGAGAGAGGAGGTGGGCGGATTGGGGGTGGAGGAGGCGGAGGTGGAGGAGGAGGAGGTAGAGCGCCTGCAGGAGGGAGGAGTGGGAGAGAAAGGGGGGCGGCGGAGGCAGAGAATTCAAAGGGGATTCAACTGGTTGACTGGTTTGAGAACACGGCAAGAAAATGGAGGCGTGTGAGCACCAGGGAGAGCATGAAGGCGTAAGTGGTTCCACAAGTGGAGAGAAGGCTGAAACATGGGTGCGCTGACGGGTTAGAGAGACGGTTCGGAATAAAATAAGGAGATATGGCAAAGGTGTGAGGAAGGAACCCAAGAGGAGGAAGAGTGGCAGGAGATACAGGAAGAATCTAAAGTTAGTTACCTTGAAAGCACATGCCCATTGGGCAAGAGGAGGAGGCGCAACTGGGGGAGGTTTAGCAGACGCAGGTGGTACTGCAACAGTACTGTGGGTGGCACACCCATGAGGCCCATGAGGATCAGAGGAAAGCGCGCAGGGTGCGCTGACGAAGTGGGCATGGAGGAGGGCCTGGCGGGGGGTGAGAAGATTAGTGGGTGAGACGGGGAGCTGAGAGCTAAAAGTGCAGAAGAGTGCCTGGGAGCGCAGGCTGCGCTGAAGAAGTGTGCCTGGACGACGGCCTGACGGGGGGTGAGGTGGTCAGAGGGTGAGACGGGGCCTCTATCTCATACAAAGGACCAATTGAGAGCCGCGAGCGGCTGGGGATGCAAGGTAATGCACGGAGGGGGCGTTGAAGACGAAAGGGCTGGGGGGGGGGGTGAGAAGGAGAAACGGGGGGTGAGAGCCGTGGGGAGGTAACACAGAAGATTGTCAGGGAGCAGTGTCGAGGCACACAATATCCAGCAGCTTCAGGCCACGCCTGATGCCGTGTGTGCACCTGTCATGAGACTCAAACGACTATTGGATGCCTTTCCCCCGCTCAGGTTGAGGCTTCTCCTCACACCTTGTGTAGCTCGAACCCCTTGTGCAGCTCGAACGCTTTGTTAGGCCACGCGCTTGGAACCCTGGACCACTGCTCACCTTGAGGCACTCCTTGACACCCCGTACGCACCCATCGTTCAACCCACCATGAGACAGCGCTTGACACCCAGAAGGGACCCATCGTGCAACTAGAACGCCTATTGAAGGCACACAAGTCCTCACCCTGGGTCGGACCTGGCCACCCTGCATGGACCCCACACCTCACCTTGAGGCAATCATCAGCAACTCACACGCCTACTTAGGCCACGCCAGTCCTCACCTTGAAGCAGCACTTGACACTCTGGACTGGAGGGATCCAACCACTAACCTTGAGGCACTTTTAACACCCTGTATGGACCCATCGTGCAACTCACCTTGAGGCACTTTTTAACACCCTGTATGGACCCATCGTGCAACTCACCTTGAGGCACTTTTTAACACCCTGTATGGACCCATCGTGCAACTCACCTTGAGGCACTTTTTAACACCCTGTATGGACCCATCGTGCAACTCACCTTGAGGCACTTTTTAACACCCTGTATGGACCCATCGTGCAACTCACCTTGAGGCACTTTTTAACACCCTGTATGGACCCATCGTGCGACTCACCTTGAGGCAGCGCTTGACACCCTGGAGGGAACCATCGTGCAGCTCGAACGACTCCCACAGTGCCTTCCAGGCGGAGTGAGAGAGCAGCAGAGGTACTGGCACTGTTGTTGCTGCTGCGGCTGCTGCTGCTGCTGCGGCTGCTGCTATTGGTGGCGGTTTTGGTGGGGGGGAGGATAGGGGCTGTAGAATGGCGGAGAGAAGGAGGGGATCTAGGAGGGCGCGGGGAGAGGGAAGGCCGAAGGTGGAGAGGTGGAGATGTGGCAGGCTGCTGGGCGGCAGAAGGCGGGAGACGGGCGGCAAGGAGTGGACGCCGGTGAGGATGAGGGCGAGTGGGAGGGTGCTGCGCCACTCACTGTCAGTCGGGTGGTTTGGCAGGGAGACGTTCGAATGACGAGGGGATGGACGCACAGGGGGGAGGGGGAGCACGTTGAAACAGATACGAGGAAGAACTACCGACAGAGTGCAGAGTGCAGGCAGAGTGCAGGCAGAGTGCTGGCAGAGTGCGGGCAGATTGCGGGCAGAGTGCGGGCAGAGTGCGGGCAGAGTGTGGGCAGCAAGGAAGGGCGAGAGGAGCGGAGGGGCGCTCTTGGAAGGCTGTTGCTTGATACTCGCCCGAGCACACCGACACACCGGGCTGAAGTTGCAGGCAGGAAACGGACATATACGTGGATGGTCCCTAACTTGGTGCTCGCTCACCTGGGCACACTGAGGAATGCATGGAGCGCGCCAACGTTGCACGCAGGCAGAGTGTCCAGATGCTCGTGGAATGCCGATGGTAACTTGCTGATGGTAACTTGCTGATGTTAACCTGCTGTGCTGTGCCCACCTGAGAACACTGATGAATGCATGGAGTGCGCTGACGTTGCAGTCAGGTGCATCCACCACGATAACAGCCACGGAACACGCACCACTGCTGCTGAGCCCGCTACTGCTGCCACCACTGCCAGCAGTGCCAGCATTCCCAGGCCCAGCACTCCCTGTGGTGCTTGCAGCAGCGCAGGTGTGTGCCTGGTGCCAAGCCGAGAGGGCAGCCATGTCAGGGATCTGGGAAACAAGGAGTGGGAGGGAACAGGGGGAATGGGAATGGGTGCTACGGAAATGGACGACAGCAACAAGTGTGTTGGGAGAGGTACCAAAAGAACTGGGGCACATCAAACCAAAAGGCCTCCACAAACCCATCCCCCCCACACCCTCCCTCCCTCCCCCTCTCCACCCTCCCAAACTCCTCCTCACTTGCCTGTTCTCCCTGTCAGCTGCTGCAACATGCTCAAGAAAGCCTGGCTGGCTAACTCTTGAGTCAACACAGGTCCCCTCCCCATTCTTCCCCTCCTCCTCTCTTACCCCCTCAACCTCACCTTCCCAGTTTTCCCTGTCAGCTGCCGCAGCATGCTCAAGACAGCCTGGCTGGCCGACTGCCCTCCCCCACCAAAATTGTGTGGCTCCAGGAGCGCCACGTGGCAGCAGCCCATTCGCTGCAGGGAGGACTGCAGGTTAGTGCAGAAGGAGGCACTGTCAGTGGAGTCCAGTGAGCCAGTTACCACCACACTCGTGGGCAGCTTGCAGGTCATAGTCGGTACAGCAGGTGCTATTTGGACAGGAGTAAGCTCGCCAGGTGCTACATGATCCTCTTGCCCTGCATTGTCTGGGGCAAGGTGCAGGGAGAACGGAGGAGGAGCACAAGGAGGAACTGTCAGAGGAGACTCGTGAGCCGGTGAACACAACACTGCCTGGCAGCTTGCTGGTAAATGTTGGTACAGCAGGTGTTACGTTGCCTGGCGTTGACTTGCCCTGCATTGCCTGGGGCAAGGTGCAGGGCACGAACGGAAGAGGAGCACAAGGAGGAACTGTCAGAGGAGCAAAGAGAACCGGTTACCACCGCACCGGTGAGCAGCTTGCAGGTCATGGCTGGCACAGCAGGTGCTATTTGGACAGGAGTCAGCTCGACAGGTGCTGCATCATCCTCTTGCCCTGTATTGTGTGGGGTTAAGGGCAGGGCGTCAAGGGAAGAGAGCAGCACAAGGAGGGGCTGTCAGAGGAGGCGAGTGAGCCGGGGAGGGGACCACCACACTGATGGGCAGCTTGCAGGACATGCCTGGCACAGCAGGTGCTATCTCGCCAGGTGGTGACTCGTCCTCTCTTCCCCTGCGCCGTCTGGGTTTAGTGCGAGGGAAGGATGCTAAAAAGATTGACGTCTGGGTTTAGAGTCAAGGAATCAAATGAAACAGAAGTTGCACGGGGTCGGCAGCCAGGAGGCTTAGTATGTGTCAATATAAGCAGACACACAGTAGGCGCTCACACCACATGTGCTTGAACAAAAGGCGCTTATAAAGAAGACGTGCTTACAGTAGAGGTGCTTACAGCGGTGCAGAGCGGTGGAAGTCTTGACCCACTGCTGCAGCCGAGCCACCATCTGGTTCTCATGCTCCCCCAGGACTGCCTGCAGGTTAACGCATGGGCCACACGGAGCGATGGACGGGGAAGGGCACATGGAAGGGCAGAGGGAACCTAATGCCGAGCCACCATCTGGCTCTTATGCTCCCCCAGCACTGCCTGCAGGTCAACGCATGGGCCACACGGAGGGATGGACTGGGAAGGGCGCAGGGAAGGGCAGAGGGAATCTAATGCCAGCCGAGCCCCCATCTGGCTCTTATGCTCCCCCAGCACTGCCTGCAGGTCAGCGCATGGGGCACATGGAGGGATGGACTGGGAAGGGCGCAGGGAAGGGCGCAGAGGAATCTAATGTCAGCCGAGCCACCGTCTGGCTCTCCTGCTCCCACAGCACTTCAACGCATAGGTAGACAGTCGGTCGGATGGTTACATTACACCTCACAATTAGAACACCCCAAGCCCACCACACAATGATCACACCCCACAGTGATCACAACCCGCAATCCTCACACCCCACGAGGCACCCAATCCTTACATCGATGCGCTGCTGCATGCTGCCCCATGTGGCCTCAAACGCGCCTCTCCCAAAAACTGCTCCAGTTAGCCTTCTCATTCTCCCTGCTGGCGCACCCCCTGCTGGCACACCCCCTACTGGCGCACCCTCTAGTGGCACAATCTTCGTTACAAGCACGCCATTCGCTTGCACAGATCCGTCCATCCCACGCACAGCAGCAGCAGGTCCCTGTGCCGCCGTCTCCCTCCGCCTCACATTCTCTTCCTCTGACGAGATTTCCCCTTGCGACGCAATCTGTCTTTGTGTTGCATTCTCCTCCCTTCCCACCCGCGCACTATGAGAGTCTAACTCGCTAAGATTTCCAGCTCCAGCCTCACACCCCTTGGCCATCCCTTTTTTCGCAGCAGCGTTCTCAGCATCCCCCCCTGCTTCCTCAATCTCCTCCTGTTCCTTCTCCCCCACCTGCTCTTTCTCCTCCTCCTCCCCGTCCTCGTCCTCCCCCTCGTCGTCGTCCTCCTCCTCCTGTTCCCCCTTCTGCACCTCCCCCTCTTCCAAACACGTGTCCTCCTCCCCACGAGTGACCCCTTCCCCGAACACCACTTCCTCAACATCATCGTCGTCATCACTGCTCTTCTCCTCCTCTCCTGCCTCCCCCTCCTCCCCCTCCTCCCCCTCCTCCGTCTCTTCCTCCTCCTCTTCCTGCTCCTCCTCCTTCTCCTCACCACTCGCTATCCGCCCCTTCCTGACCCTACGCTTTCCCCCTCCCTCCTCCTCGTCCTCTTCCTCTCGGAGCTTCGTTCTCCCAAACGCATTACGCTCATTCACCCCCCCTGCCCCTTCATCCTCATCCAATCCTCCCGTCTCCGCTGGCTTCCCTGACAATCTCAAGGATCTCCTCCTAGGCGCGACGTGCTGACCGCCATCCGACGGCTGAGATTTAACCTCACGCCGAGTCGACGCGGTCAACGGCCGTTCGGATTTCACCGTACATTGAACTTGATCCCCATCCGATGGCTGAGATTCGTTCAAAGATCCCTTCACTCGCGCTGTCGCTGCTTTTGCACCGTCGGATCCGCTCTCGTGCTTATGCTTCGTCGCAGACTGGTTCAGTCCAGCACTGCCTCGCAGAAAGTGCGTTTTCGGCCTCATTAGCGCCACGCCCCGCAGCTACGCTTAGCTAAGTGCACTGTTCCTCCGTAAGCGCTTATTTCTCTGTTGTGGTCCACTGTAGCTATCCACTACATCCGCTGATCGTCCATAAATGAGAAGCGATCATGTGTCAAGTAACAGATTTTAGACTGGAAACGGGAGCGACGACGCAGAAACCAAACCGCGTATGGAAGAGTTCTATCGCGTATCAGAAAGCGCGACCTTGCTTAGAACAAGAATAATACAGAGTCAGGATTCCGTGCCGTACGGCTGGTTTGAGGTTAATTATCAATTACCTAGTAGCTACAGGAACCAGTGCTTACTCTTCGACTAGTAGGACAAGTCTCGTTTCGACAAACAAGTTATCATGATAGACCAGCTAGCACCTACAAGAAAGCTCCTCATCTGCTTCTCTCGAATGCTCAACTGCCAGCCATCAGCCAAGCACAGCAACTCTCTTTCAGCCAACGCTCGTGTCGGCTGGGCGATCTCATTGCTGTCAGTCTCGTGTGTCAGCCCTCTTGCCTCGAGAAATGTCCCGCCATCCCTGGATTTCACAAAGGCCAAATTTCAAATGAGGCGAGAGTGGTACACTGAGTTGTAATAAAATGGTGTGTATCATATCATATTACAACAAAAGGCTATATCTATGAAAAGAGTGAGATTCTACAAGCTACTCACTCATGATTTCCTGGCGATTTCTGATTAAATACGTGAATATTTTGCCATAAATGAATACCGTAAAACAACATGCAAAAGAGTAGCTATTCTTCGGCAATCATGCTAGACGTAAATAGCATTGGGTTTCAAAACGACATTGGTGAGAAAAATGAAGGCACCGGTGGCCTTTGATAGGGAATTGTAAAATAATTGTAGAAGGATGTGACTGCCACCTAGTCCATCATGCAGAAGCCAAGACTAGAAAGGAGATAGCATAACATATATTACATACAAGGTAATGATTTACACAGGGCATGAATCACATATCTCGTGGTGTAGCTGGGAGACCTCCAACCCGATGGCTGGCAACGGGACATGGGGGATCTCATTTGAGCCCCTCTTCACAATCTGGAACGATATCGCTAACGTCGCCACGACAAATTTTGTTGGTCAAAATTAAACAGCCGTCAGAATCACGAGCCGCGGCTCATTACGGCGATATATTTCGATCACACAATCGAGTTTTCGTCAGTCTTCGTTTTCTCGCAGATTGTGCTGGCTGACACGCCTCAGAAAGTGGGGACAGCCATGAGTTTCGAAAGCGGCCTCAGCCATCACTTTGTAGGAGAGGGACACGGCACGACAGTATGGGGTTCCCTGCAGAATTTCAGTTGTCTGTTCCAAAGTTTGAAGACTCTGGGAAATAGGGTGGGTAAGTAGGGGGACCGGCCACCATAAGTTTCAGAGCTCTTAGGTCTCCCAAACTTTGAGCGAAACTAGTGTGGTTTACTTGAAAACTCCTCGCAGAAATTCGGATGACTTCAGGGAAGACCGTATGCATTGTTATTATCAGGGGATACCATTTCTGATAAACAGGACCTGCTGGAAGAACCAAACAGGCCCAACCAGTCTGACAACAGCCGCTGGAGGAGTTGTTTCTCGCTTCCTGCCCACATCTCAATCTAGGGTTTGTTGGTGGACTGATAGCCGCACTTAGCTCCACGTCAGCAGAATCCACCCAACCTTATCCGCACTTGGCGGCAACTTAGCGCGTTGCGGGGTACGCGTTCAAAGTTTGCGGCTCGAACACACTGGCCGTCCCAATTCCCAGCGAGTCAGAATCCGTTCTTACCTGATATTTTTCCAACGGTTCTGGCTCACTTTGCCGCCAATAGATTTTATTGGTTCAGATTTCAGCAGCGATTCGCACCCGCAGCGCTGTCCGTTTCGCGACACGATTCTTACCCCACTCTCTTCCCTTCAGCCGTGATTCCATCTCTCCCTCCCTCCATTCACCCGTCAGCTTCCCATTTCCCAGCCGATTCACCTCGTTCTCACCTCCCCATATTCGCCCAGTCCTCATTCAGACACCATTTGCGGAAATTTTCGTCCGTCATCTACTAGAATTTGCAGAGCACCTTTGCTCGCTTGTTCCGAGATCTGAATGCATGGAGCCGTTCAGAGTCGAACACACTTCATTCCTGCCGCGTTGCTGCCAACTATCGATCGCGTTGAGCGCGTGGAGCTGTTCAGCTTCGAACACACACTTCATTTCTGATCGATCTGCTCGCGTCGTGCTGCCAACGACTTGTTTTCGACGAAGTTTTTGTTGCTGCAAACCCGTGTGTAAGTATCAGCTCTAGAGGCAACCGTTGAAGTTGTTCGTTTTCGTTTCATTTTTGACTTTCCATTCCGACGTTTCATGTTATTCCGTGCAGGATGAATGAGTCAACATCTGCGACTTACGAGCCAAGATTTACGACTAACGAGCCAAGATCTTCGCGACTAATGGGCCATTTTACGAGTCAAGATTTTCGAAGAACGATCTGAAACGTTAAGGCCAGATCTGCGACATGCTTTGAAAGGTAAGTCACGGAACGAGGGAGGTGGGGGGGAGAGTAGGCCCGCCTAGAGAGTCTTCGTATTCCTTTTCCTCGTGTCGTTTTAAATGCCGACGCGTACTAACGCCTTTCCGTCGTTGTCGTTCTTTTGCATATTTACCTCTCAACTCGGGCGTGAGAGGCATGGAAGACCGTTTTGCGTCGAATTCGTGTCGATCAAGACCTTGCTGCTTCGATTTGTGGCGAACGAGTCAAGATCTGCCTCGGGTCAAGACCTTGTTGCGTCGAATCCAGTCAACTATGAACGCACGACGATCGAGATTCAGAAGGTACGTGTCGGAACGAGGGAGCAGGGGGGGCGAGTAGGCCCGCCTAGAGAGTCCGCATTTCGTTTCGCCGTGTCGATTTTCAATGCTGAACGCGTACTAACGCCTCTCTTCTCGCCTGTGCAAGGCCTTGGACCAAGACCAAGCCGTCCGATCTGCTGAGGTGTCTGGAGCTTCACGCCGGCAGTCGACGCGGTCAACACGTCTGCTGCGTGAGAGGCTGGAATTCGATCAAGACCTTGCTGCTTCGAATCACGGCAATCAAGTCAAGATCTGCCTCGGGTCCAATCCAGTCAGCAATGAACGCACGACAAACGAGGAGGTTAGCATCGGAACGAGGGAGCTGGGGGGGCGAGCAGGCCCGCCTAGAGAGTCCGCCTTTCCCAGACGCCTTGTCGTTCGTTTCGCCTCTTGCATGTTCGCCTCTCTGCTCGCCCGCCCGAGGCCTTGGATCAAGACCCCGCGGCTGCTGCTCCAAACCGTCAGATCAAGACGATTACATCGGCGAGATCTGCTGTGGTGCCTGGAGCGGTCAATGCGGTCAACGCGCCTGCTGCTGCGTCGACCCAATAATCCTGAGTATCACTGGCTCCTTTTCCTTCTCCTCGCTCTCCTGCTCTGTAGCACACCCTAGGGCTCCCCCGGTTGCTGGTATGCCCGCCCACTGCAGGTGCAAAATTTGTCAGCCTCGGTACAGGTTCGGCCTTGGTACGGTTCAGACTAAGGTACTCCCCGGGATGTGCTACATCAGGCTTGTTAGCAGTCGTTGCTTCGTCTCTTTACTCTCTTCGTCGCGTTTCCTTCCCTTGGCTTGATTTTTGAGTCGACTCAAAAATCACCTACGTTTCCTTCCCTGCAAAAATCAACTCTCGTTGCTCGCTTGCAGGTACCAGGCGGCGCTTCTCTGCTATTCTCCCCCGTAAAGGCTGCCCCGACCACTGCTGTCGCTGTTCGCCCTTCAAGGCTGCGTCAACCTCTGCTGTAGCTGCTCGGGGGGGAGCATGGTCTGGTCTCTCAACCAAGGTAAGCCAAGCCTCCTCCTCCTACTGCTCGTGCTTAGCCTTGGTTTGGTCGTTTTCTGTCACGTCCGCTCTGCTGACTCATTTCTCGTTGCTCGCCTGCAGGTTCTTCCAGGCGGCGCTTCTCTGCTCTGCTCCCCATTCAAGCCTCTCATCGGTGCTTCTCTGCTCCCCCTTCAAGGCTGCTCCGACTGCTGCCCGAGGGGAGCATGGGGTGGTCTTTTAACCACGGTAAGTCAAGTCTCCTCCTGCAGCTCGTGCTTAGCCTTGGTTTGGTCGTTTTCTGTCACGTCCGCTCTGCTGACTCATCTCTCGTTGCTCGCCTGCAGGTACCAGTTCGAGGCTGCCTCGACCTCTGCTGTGGCCGCTCCCCCGTCCAAGGCTTCTCCGAGCGTTGCTGTGGCTGTTCCCCCTTCGAGGCTACGTCAACCTCTGCTGTTGCTGCTCGGGGGGGAGTATGGGGTGGTCTCTTGACCAAGCCTTCTCTGCCTACCCCTCGTGCTATCGCATCTGTGCATTGGCCTTGAGTTGCTCCTTCAGTCGCCGCCTTCAGCTCAGCCTTGGCTGCCACTCTGCCCGTCACTCATAGCCCCCCGCTCCCCCTCCCCCCTCCCTCCACCAGGTTATGCTGCCTCCAGTCACCACTGCTGCTGCTGCCTCTTGAGGCGACACTCCTTCTGCTGCCCTTGAGTCAACGCCTTGCTGCCTCGAGTCAACGCCCAGCTGCCTCGAGTCAACGCCCAGCTGCCTCGAGTCAACGCGCTGCTGTTTCAAGCGAGATGAGTATCCCCCTTCCTTCAACCGTTTCGCCACCTGCCGTTTCGCATGCCTCTGCTTCTCGTCGCTCTAGCTGCCTGCAGCGCACCCAAGGCCCCCCCCGTTTTGTTTTTAGGTTCAGACTATCGCTTGCCCCTTTGCTGGTGCAAAACTTCCCCCCCCAGGTATGTTGAGATTCAGGTTCCCCCTCCCCCTCCCCCTTGGGTGTGCTGCAGCATCTTAGATCGCGCATGCCTGCATGTTTGCCTGTCTTGCTCGCAGTTTTGGCTTTACTGCCTCTTCATCCGCTGCTTCCCCTTGACTCACTGCCCCCAATCCCCCCTCCCCCCAGCTCGCCAGGGGCGCAGCAGAACCATGGGGGGGAGGAGCGCACCTCAGCCAATGCTCCCGCTTCCTGCCTGCCTCGACCTCTGCTGTGGCTTCTCGGATCAACGCCCTGCTGCCTCGGGTCAACGCCCTGCTGCCTCGTGTTAACGCCCTGCTGCTGGCTGGTCACGCCCTGCTGATGCTGCTGCGAGATAAGTATCCCTCTACTCTGCGCGCAACCATTCCTCCTCTTGCCATTTCGCTTGCTTCTGCTCCTCGCCACTCTACCTGCTTGTGGCACACTCAAGCCCCCCCCCCCCCCCCCCCCCCCCCCCCCCCCCCGTTTCTTTTTAAGGTTCAGACTAACAGTTGCCCCTTTGTGGTTGCAAAACTTCTCTCCCCTTGGTATGTTCATCTCCCCCCCCTCCCCCCTCCCCCCCCCCCCTCTCTTTTGAGTGTGCGACAGCAGCTTTATTCTCATGCTTTCATCCCTTGGTATGCAG